TGTCAATGTATTATGTAACTTTGTGTTTTTCTGGAAATTTGTTAATTCTATCAAACTACCAAACTGACTCAAGAAGAAAGATACAATCTGAAAAGATCTATAACAAGTATAGGGATTGAATTTTTCATTAAAAAAAAAAGAACTATCCACTAAAAAAAAAGGCCAGGACCAGATTAATTCACTGGTGATTTCTGTCAAATATTTACAAAAGAATTAAAATCTTCACAAACTCTTCCAAAAATTAGAAAAGAGAACATTTCCAAGGTATTCTGTGAAGCCAGTATTCCTTTGATACCCAAACTAGACAAAGATATCGCAAGAAAAGGAAAGAAGCTATTGACCAATTTTTATGAACATGGATGCAAAAAATCATCCACAAAATACTAACAAATCAAATCAAGTCGTATGTAAAATAATTATACTATGACCAAGTGAGGCTTACCTCAGGGTTTTAAGTTGGTTTAATATCTGAAAATCCATTAATGTAATACACCTTATCAATAGAATAAAACACAAGAAAACCCCACACATTTGTCTTAATATATTCAGAAAGAAAAATCTGACAAATCCAATGTCTTTTTCATTATAAAAACATCCAATCTACTTGTTACAGAATAGGATGTTTTTAATCTGAAAAGGGTATCCATGAAGGCTCACTGGTGACATGGTGCTCAGTGATAAGATAGGAGTTTTCCCTCCAAGAGTAAGACAAGAACACCTGCTCTCACTGCTGCTGCATGACAGATTGTGACCAGGGCAGTGAGTCGAGAAATAGAAGCATTGTAACTGGAATGAGGAAGCAAAACTATTCACAGATTACATTACTTTATATGTAGGACATTTCCAGTAATCCACCAGAACACTATTAGAGCTAAGAAATGTGTTTGACAAACTTGGAGGACATAAATTCAATATTGAAAAATGAGCTATATATAGGCTGGGTTTGGTGGCAAATGCCGGTAATGTCAGTGGCTTGGGAGCTGAGGCAGGAGGATCAAAAGTTCAAAGCCAGCCTCAGCAATGACGAGGTGCTAAGCAATTCAGTAAGTCCCTATCTCTAAATAAAACACAAAATAGGGCTGGGGATGTGGCTCAGTGGTCAAGTGTCCCCAAGTTCAATGCCTGGCATTGCCCCCTTCAAAAAAACATAGCTGTATATCTATGTACTTACCATAAATGGTATGGCATTAAAATTAAAAAAAAACAATTTAACTTATAATAGCAAAAATTAAAATATTTAGGAAAAAATCTAATAAAGTATATAAAAAAGCATACTCTTAAATCTATAAAACATTGAGCAGATTTTTAAAAGTAAATAGAAAAATACCCATGTTCTGGCATTGAAGTTTCAATATTATTAAGAAGTGAATATGCTTCAAATTAATGTACAGATTCAATGTAATCTTGGTCAGAATAGCAGCTGGCTTCTTTGTAGAAACTGACAAACTAATTATAATATATATATATATATATATTACATTAAAGTGCCACATTCAAAACAATCTTGAAAAGGCAGAACAAGAGTTGAGAGACTCATACTTCCCAATTGTGAAATATTACATACCACAAAGGAAGAGTAATGAAGATGTTGTGATACTGGCATTAGGATAGACACAGATTTACAAATAAAACTGAGTATCCAAATAATAAGCACATTTCAATGGTTGACTGATTCTGATAGGGCTGTCAAGACAATTCAGTAGAGAAAGGAATTTTTTTTCAAACAATGGAAGTTGGATCACTATATACAAAAAAAATGAAATTGGGCATTGATGTCACATGTTTTCCAAAAATTGACTCAAAATTCATAAATGATCTGAACAAAAGTGCTTGAATCATAAAACTCTTAGAAGAAAGCATAGGGCTAAATTATTAGGATGTTGCATTTGGCAATGAATTTTCAAATATGACATCAAAAGCACAAGCAAACACAAAATAATGGATTAGTTGAACTCTTATCAAAATTACCTTTCAAGAAAGTGAAAAGACAAACCACAGAATGGAGGAAAACTTTATAGGTGATATTTCTGATAAGGGAATTATAGCTAGAATATATGTAAGAACACTTACAACTAAAAAAATAAAGAAGTCTTATTGAGAAATGGCTAAATGAGTGGAATAGACATTTCTCTAAAGATGATATTCAAATGAACAATAAGCACATGAGAAGTGCTCAACACTAGGATGGATATTAAAAAATCAGATAATATCTGGTGAGGATGTGACGAGATTGGAATCTTCATATACTGTTGAGGATGTAAATTAGTGTGGACACTACAGGAAACATTCTGCTGATTCCTCAGATGGTTAATTACAGTGTTACCAGTAATTCCACTTCTAGGTATAAATCCAAGAGAAATGAGAACATATACACCAAAAAATTGTGTGTAAATATTTATAGTAGCATTCATAATGTTCCCAAAGTAGAAAAAAAAACCTCAAATATCTATCAATTGATGAGTGAATAAGCAAAATGTGGTATTTTCGTGCAATGGAATATTATTCTGCCAGAAAAAGGAATAAATGAAAGGGTGATATGTTTAAACACAAATAAGACTTGAAGACATTTTCATCAGTAAAAGAAATGTGTCATGAGAGACCATATAATGTATGACCACATTTTTATAAAATGTCTGGAATAGGCAAATCTATAGACTGAAAGTAATAGATTGACCAGAGGTGGAGTGGAAGAGTAGGGATATGGTAGTGAAAGAACATGGTATTTCTCTGCTGTGATGAAAATGTACTAAAATTGTCTCTGGTGATACTTGCAAAACTCTACAAATGTACTAAAAGCCACTGCAATACATACTTTAACAGGGCAAACTGTATGTTATGCTAGTTTTATTCCAATAGAAAAAAGTGGATTATCTTTTCACCCAATCCTAGTGTTTTAGATGACCCCCACTAACTACTTCCTGATTGAGAGCAAGGCATGGACACTAGAAAGCAAAACAAGATAGTAAACAAAAGAAAAAAAATTAAATGAAAGTAAGAGGCCCAAGTCTTTAATCTGAAAAAAGAATTTAGAGGATGATTACTTAGGCACTGAGTGGAAACAGATACTTCAGATTCTCCCAAAGATTTTGAGGGAAACATGTTGCCAATAGAGCAATGATTATGGTCCTAAAAAAAAAAAAAAAAAAAAAAACCTCTTAATTTTCATAAAATAACCCTTGATTCTCAAAACTAGCAGACAATTTACAATGATGGTTGTGACCTCTAAACATGAGCACATTTTTCCATGCTCACTTCAGACAGAGCCACTCAGGATGGTGAATGGGGAAAAGTATCCCGGGAGGTGAAGTCAAGGGTTCCTGGAGAACTAGGCACACTACAGATTCTCCTTGGAGAGTTGAAGCAGGGAGGTAGACCTTGCCCAGTTCTCATGAATTGGGGCTTCACATACTGCCTAGCAGGGGGTTCATCATTGAAATGGATCTGCCATTACTGTGTATCTTCCATTTCCCCCTTTACATAGAATCTATCAAAGTTTCCTTGTTTGGGCACAATTCTTGATGTAGAGGTATACATGGGAGAGGGGGAAAAGCTTCTCTTAGTTCATAGGTCATGGGACCAGAAACCACCTAAAGTTGCAGAGAAAAACCTAGTAAGTCAGCAGCCCACAGACTGCTGTGTGTCTTTGCAGGATATTATTGCATGAGTTCTACGTGCGGGAAGAAGAGTAAATATGACTATAATTCGCACAGGGACATAGAGTGGCAGGGACTGCTACCTATTAAAAACAATGTTTAGTCTTCTCTTCACCATTACACAACTACCTTTCACAGTTGAACATTTACTGTGACCATGTGACAAATTTTACCCAAATGAATTTGAATAGAAGTGGTGGGCTTCACATCCTGGCCCATTAAACATTGCCACACACACTTATCCACTCTTTTGTCCCTGATCTGCTGGCTAGGAGGCAGACGACTTCCAGGGTGACCTTGGAAGTCTTGTTCAGTGTGTTATAGCACCCACAAGCCCAGGCTCTCCAGTGAGAGCGTGGAAGAAGGTTCCATCAACTTATTCATCCAAAATAAAGTCAATTAAATATTAAAAAAAATAGGAATGGGGATGTGGCTCAGTGGTTGAGTGCCCCTGAGCTCAATCCCTGATACAAAAAAAAAAAAAAAATCCATCCTCTCCGACCATTATTTAAATACTAAAAATTCTCTTGAATTTTCATTATTATATTATTATATATTTTCAATCTGCCTCTTCTTAAAAAGTAATTAGTCTCCCCTAACAAATATAACTCTCATCACTGAATTTCTTCCCTGTACCTGCTGAGTTTAGTAAATTGTTCTCCCTGGGTATTCCTGGGTACTCGTTTCTTTCCCATACACAGGTCCTGCACATCCTAGGTGGTGGTTTCGATGACTTCTCTGACAGCTTACTTTCTAGACAAGGTGGTTTCCTGGTTTCTCCCTGTTGAGTTTTATATCCTTCTCCTTGTATTTGATCTTATTGGTAGTTTCATCCCTGTAATTTTTAGTTGTATATGTGATACAACTGTAATATGGTTTTAAATAAAATGGGGAACTTGAAGAATTTGCTCTCTAGGAAGTTTAAATAGGCTGAATAAAGACTGGATAAACCCATGTTACGGCTATTCCACTTGTCTTCTTCAGTCTGTACACTAGGAAGTTAAGATTAAAAACAAATCTTATGCTAGGATTTTAATGTATTTTTGTCTGTAAAGGGGATAAAATATATTTAGGTCCTTAGCAGACAATCTGCACTTTTAGATCATCTTAACAGCCATTTTAGATTACCATCCCATACATTTGATAACTGCAGAACCGATTGATGATGAGACCCAACAATTTGGATTAACTCTGTGTAGTCTATACACAGCTTTAATCTGGTCAACTTGTACCATCTTGGTAGTAAATTGTCATATTATTTTTTCAAACTTTAATTTGCTTGAAAACCTTTCAAATGTTGAAAAAAGAATTTGAGAAAGTAGCAGATTGGAAAAAAAACTGAGAGTGTTACTCATTTAAATAATTTATTTTTCCATCAGGGACATCGGTTTGATGATTAATACACTGCATTCATTTTCTTCCTTTAAGAAACCTGAAACAAACAGTCTTGCATAGCGTATATATAATTCATTTAGGTGTTGAAGTCTGAGCCTACATTTGTAAGAGAAAATTTCAAACGAGCCATAATTAATATGTCACTTTAGGAGCAGCAGTGGGATGAGGGGGCGGAAGTAAATGGATTTACCTGATGTTCTTTCAGTGTGTGTGTGGAAAGGAGAAATTGAAGTTAATGCACAAAGAAAGGGCCAGCTTTGCAAGCTTGTTTCTTTGAGTTCATGCCAAAGTAAATAGGTGCATCTGTGGGTATCTCCTTCTGGAGGTGTGGAAAGAGTAGGTTAAGTGTGATGGACTGCAGCATATTTCAGGAGAGGAAGTTTGAAGAGTATGCGAATCTGGAAGGCTAACCTTGTTTTCTTCAGTTCTGTTGCCACTTACTTGGTGAGATGTAAAATAAAAAAACTTCTTGAGCACGTCCAGTTCTTTTGTCTCTTACCTATAAATATGAAGCAATATATTAAAGGCAGAAATGCTATATGCACGTATGTTACACTATTTGCTCAATACTTGTCTCCCATGAGATTTTGATTGCCATCATCACTTGAATAGGACGTGTCCCCCAAAAGCTCCTGAGTTCATGCAGCAAGGTCTGGAGGTGAAATGATTGGATTGTGAGTGTTGTAAGCTAATCAGTCCATCCTAGTTTTGGTGGCAACTATAAGTGGTGGGCCGTAACTGTAGGAGGTGGATCCCTGGGAGGGCAGTGCCCTGGGAGGGTTCATCTTCCTTGCAGCCCCTTCCGTCTCCCCCTCTTTGCTTCCTATCTGGAGCAGTGTTTCTCCATCACGCCCTTCCGCCAGGATGTCCTGCCTCATCTTGGGCCTAGAGCAGTGGAATCTGCCCACCATGGACGAAACCTCTGAACCATGAGCCAAGATAAACTTCTCTTTCTCTAAGTTGTTCTTGTTGGGTATTTTGGTCACAGTGACTCAACCCCGAATAAAGCAACTGTCACAGGAGCTGGATATTTCAATCTAGGTAAAAAGGTGCTCTGGGTATTTTTTCCAGACTGATCTTCAAGTCTTTCAAATGACACTCTTGTTGAGTCCAGTTTTTTTTTCACATACACAGGACTAGGAAGGGTTTCTATCAATGTGATTAAACTTGTCTGGTTGATATCAAGCTCATCACAGAAGGATTTTAGGGGAAGGTTCTGCAGACTTGGCTCTTACCCCAGAAGTTTCATCCAAATCCAAAGTTATTACTGAATCAATGGGTCCAATAAATCATCCAAAATGGAAAATAGTGCCCGTGTTTTCAGGGGTACTGTCTCTATACTATCTGGCTAATAATACATCTTCTAGCAAAACTTAGAAATAAATTGACATCTTTATACATTATGTCAGAACTCTAAGGTGAAAAGGATCGGAGCTCAGAATCAGGAGGCTTATTGTTCCTGGGGAAGGCCTGTGCCCAGCTGAGCCATCCTTTTTAAAGAGATGCTTGGATGTTCAGTGGACCTAAGGGCACAAGAAAAGAGTAATAGTGAGAAACCTTGACAATTACCCCTTGTGGGACAGCTGCTGCACATGAGGATGTGTAGCCTGAAAATGAGATGCTTTATGGGAGCTATGGTGGCACACTTATAGTTATGTTAGTCAGTTTTCTATCCCTGGGACAAAATACCTGAGAAAAACAACTTAGAGGAGGAAATATTTATTTTGGCTCAGTGTCAGAGGTCTCAGTCCATAATGAATTGACTCTACTGCTCTGGGCCTGAAGCAAAGCAGAATATCATGGCAAAAGGGTGTGGTGGAGGAAAGCTGCTCACCTTATGGCAGGTAGGAAGCAGAGAGAAAGAGAACAAGGAGTCCAGGGACAAGATAAACCCTTCCAGGACCCCTCCTCAGTGATTAGGCTGTACCTGTGAATCTGCATTATGGACCAAGTGAAAATGTTAGAAAAAAATAACTGGAACTTTAAGGTTAAGTGTGTAGACTTGGGAATCAGAGAGGTTGGAATTTTATTCTGGATTCCCTCACTTATTATTGTATGCTTTTGATATTTATTATCTTGAAACTTTATTTTCTCATCTAAAATACAAATGAACACAATATTTTCTTGATAGGGTTGCTGTGATTGTTAAATAAGATAATGCATTAAAGTATTTACTGGAATACAGAAAGTGATCAATAAATGAAAAATACAAAATTATTAATATATATATATATATATAAGTGCTAGGAATGAGCAAAAAGGAGACTATTTGAAGAAAGTCAAATAGCTTAATTTTTAAAATATGTTGGGCATTATATATATATAATTTTTTGGGGGGGCACAGGAGTACCAGGGATTGAACTCAGGGCCATTCGACCACTGAGCCACATCCCCAGCCCTATTTTGTATTTTATTTAGAGATGGGGTCTCACTGAGGTGCTTAGCACCTCCCTTTTGCTGAGGCTGGTTTGAACTCCCAATCTTCCTGCCTCCACCTCCTGAGCTGTTAGGATTACAGGCATGTGCTACCATACCCAGCTTGATGTCTTTTAACCTGAAAAATTGTATATGATAATATGCTGAATACATTGCAACAGATATCTTCTATGGAAAAAATAGTACTTTGATATTTTTAGTAGTTTGAAATGTTGAAAAAGCAGTTATTAATACATCACTAAATCTGCATGTTATTTAAGAATTGCTCTTAACATTATGCTGCATCCTGTGTTTATGTAGAATGTCCATTTAACCCTTCCTTTAATAAACAACAACAAAAAAAGACATTCACCAAGTAAGTGCTAGGAATGAGCAAAAAGGAGACTATTTGAAGAAAGTCAAATAGCTTAATTTTTAAAATATGTTGGGCATTTGTTCATAAATTGAGACTTCCTTTACCTGGCAATCCAAGTTTTCTCTGTGATGACAGAAAATTCCATTTTATAACAACGGAGTGTCAGGAATTAATTATGTCATCAGTTATTTGTTCAACATTAAGATGTCATTGGGAGTTTGAGAAAGAAATCAAATGAACACAGGTTTTTGTTGTCATTGGTGTGAAGGTTCAAAAATCCCTTCTTGTCAAAATTAGAACAAGTAGCTTGAGAATTTGGAAGAAAAAAAACACCAAGACATTTCCAGGGGAAGTTCACATTAATAGCCGTGAGTGTCTAATTAATTTAATGCCATTTAGCTTGCATTCACATAAACAGGTTTAGTTTTATAGGAGTTTGCAGTTTGTGATATAGGAGTTGCAATTTCTCTGAGCTCCTTGAAAACTCTATGCTCTGCTCTATTCTTTGCTTTCATAAATTTTGGTGTTGCAAAACTGTTAGTCATAAAAAGGCATTTATAGTTCAATATAATTTTCCTTCTTTTTCTTTTATTTTCTTTAAAAATGCAGTTTTAAAAGTAATAAAGCTCTTCCTTCTGTAAATCTTCAATCTTTTTTTCCTAAGGGAAGATTAATTTGTAAATATGCTAATGGATTTGTATAATATTAAACTTTCCCAAGAAAAATTACATTACTTCATATGAATGAACACATCTATCTTATCCAATTTATAAACTAATGGTTGAAAACCCCAAAACTGTTTCCTACTATGTGTCTTATAACTAAAATGGCTGTAGGCACAGCCGCAAACTTGGCATTTCTCAGCAAATTTATTGGGTGAAATTTTTTTTCAGTCCCTTTATTGAGTTTTCCTCATTTAGCTGTATTTGAATTCCAGCTAATAAAATGCAATTCCTCTTAGAAAAAGGTGAAAAAGTAAACGTGCTGCTCAAAATAGAAGCGATTTCTAAACAGGAAGTAGATTAAAAAGAACAAATGCTTAGTTTAAAAGTGATATTGGTGGTTGGGATGCTGTGATGGAGATGTTCCCACAGCTAACTTTCATTAAAGCAGCAGGGTGACTTTTTAGGTCAGGCGATGAGCTAAGGGCTTGGAGGTTTAGTTAGGTAGCTATTACAGATTTGCTTTGATATTATGCATGAGAACTTCACCCCTCTTCATCTTGTTTGTTTCTTTATTTCTTATTTTTACCAGCGAGATCATTCCATTGTATAAATGGCTTTCTGCAGACAGGCAAACATCCTGTTACCTGCCAGTACTCTGAGATGACCTTCAAAGCCATCCCTGGTTGTTGTTCTTATGGGACACCCTGAATTCAGCTCTGAGGTGGGATTTATATTATTTGGGCATTTCCCCCTCAGGGTCTCAGTGAGACTGGTTGAACTATTCAGGGAATGAAGCAGGAGGAAAGAGGCTATAAATGAGAATTAATACTGTTAATTCCACAAATAGACAGGGACTTGGAATTCTGATAATTCTTCTCAATAATTAGATACCCTGTTTCATAAAAATTATCTACTAGTAACTCCAAGGAATCCCCACTCAAGAGAAGACTACAGTCAAGGACAATTATTGTGGTTATCTTCTTTCTAGATATTCCCAGAAGTTTATCTTAGGAGGGTTCTGTGTAATGTGAAGAAAATGGGATCTGGTTAGTAGTCCCACAAAAGTAAGACTGTGTGGAGAATTCACCAGATTGGTTTGCTTTCTTGTGTTAGGTTAGAGATGGGTAGTGGATGGGAAGGAAAATAAATCAAGTTTGGACAAATGAAAAGTCCAGGAATGTAGTTAGCATCAGACATTGCTATATTCTGGTGTTCGCATTATGCCTGTAGCAATCGGTCAGCTTCCATTGCTCAGCTCTGGTTTTCTTTGTTTGGCTTTATTGTTAGTCATCTTCTGTCTGGTCATCAGCTAGTGCAGCCATACATTGAATTTCTCTTCCTCAACATTTCCTGCAAATTCTAGGGCTGCTGGTCTTGGATCATGTGCTCGCCCTTAGAGCTGGAGTCTGAGCATCAGTCAGTCTCACCCAAAACATTAGCACTAAGAGTGGGAGAATGGAGTTCCTGAAGGTAACGCAGCCTGCTGGTTGCAGAAGCAGGGGCAACACGTGCAGGCAAGAAGAACATATGCCCATCACTATGATGAATTGAAAACACGTATTGTAATAATAAAGAGGAAGAGGAATTCGAGTTATAAAATGATAAGAGGGGGCATTTTGCTTCACATAAAGAGTACTCGGGGAATTCTTTGTTAAGGTCACCTTATTCAAAATGAGGTCTTTGATGGAAATGTTGCTAGGTGGGTCTAGATAAAGCCGGATGGGAAAAGAGCATCCTTGGCTTATGAGTAGTTTTGTAATGTTATCTGCAAGTTCTGTTTCTTCCAACATGAAAGTAGTTTCTCCCAAAGCAGGCACTGTCTTCCAGTATCTTACTGAACTTCTCTAAGAACATAACATAGGGCTGGATTCAAAGCAAAGTCTAAGTACGTACTTCTGATGGATTTATTTCAGCTGTTGGTCATGCTTATCACACTGAAGGATTTCTCAGGGAGTTTTTTTAAACCTATCCTCACTGAGAGTGGCATTTGTTTCCTATCTTTCCATATGACTTGAAGAGTCTGAATATGTCCTTTTAACGTGCCTCCAGGTTTCTGTGCTTTCTCTCACACCACCAACGCTCTGTCTGGCAGAAGCTGGGACCGCGGCTGCTGTCTTTCTTCCATACTGAAGGTCTGTGCTGTGCATAGTACTGCTTCATGCTGCTTTCCTGATCCACTTTGCAAAACTGCCTGGAAAAAAGTGCTTTTTGGATAATCCGAAAGAGGGAAATATATTGAACATCATTTTTTTCTTGGGCATATTTCATGGGTTAAATACATTTAAAATGCTATTATAGTGAATTGCTACAGAGAGCAAGCATTTCTCAAATCCTAACAGTGGTCATCTAGTTTCAGAGCATGTAAGATACATTGTAACTAGAAAACACACAGACCTTAAGGGTAGTTTTTTTTTTTGTTTGGTTGGTTTTTTTTTTTTTTTTTTTTTTTTTTTAGAAACATGGGATTTTAGTGGTCTGTAAGAGTTCTTGATAGGATTTTTGGATGAGGCCTCAGAGATAATATAGTCCAGAGATAGAAAATAGATTCATCTTGTGTGCCAAATTTGATCAGTTGGTGGTGGTTGCCTGGAGAGCTGTGTTAAGAAGGAATTTATGGCAAAGTCCAGACTCAGTGGGGAAAGTGCCTGGATAAATTTTTTTTCATGTCTACCACGGTTAAAGAAGGGGAGAGTGGCACCATATGGTACTTGCCGACTCGGTGCAGTCTCCCACTTTATAAAATTAGAAAAACCACTCTAAGATCATATTCCTTGTTAGTAGGAGAACCCAGTCTTTTTTAGTTCAGCCTCTAAATATTCCCCCAAAGTGATTTCCAAATGGGTTAACTGAGATAGGTCTGCAAAAGCAGTCATAATAGGGCCTGATAGATTATCTAATTTCAGCAACTATTAGCTAAATGTAACATTTAATTAAATTATACATTCCCTTCTTAACCAAGGAGTCATCAAATACTTACTGACCTTGTACTATGTGCTAGGTACACTTAGTTCTTAGCACACATGATGAGCATGCTCCCCAGAGTTTTGACAGCCTCTTCCATCAGAAACAAGTAGCTGGAGTATAGCAGCCATCATCTGGGCCACGTTGTTCTGTTTTCACTCATTACCAATTTGGTTCTCTCTCTGATCTGTAAACCTAGATAGATGAGGGAGAAGCACACAGTTATTTCACTTGTATGATTCTGTGTAAATTGTCTACTTTCCTAAACAAGTACTACCCTTTGGTCTCTATGATAAATCTCATGAAAATGGAATTATATTCAAATGAATCAGCAGCACATTATGGACCTGGTTTTTAATAACAGGTGTCTAACGTGTGCATGCGACATGCAAAATATGCTGATGCAAATGGATGATTGCATGTGCAAAAATATGCAGATTAATGTGCAAACAGATGTTCAAATAATTTCCCATTATTGCATGCCATTACCCTTTATGAATGCACAACTGCATATTTTGTATACAGATATGTTTGCATTGTTTGTATTTCGTGTGTGCAATTTATACAAATCTTTTCAAGGATTGCTCTCCATCATATCCCTAATTGGGAAGTCTTAACCTTCCCATGCATTTTCAGTCCCCTGAGAGAGTTCCTCTGCAAGCAGAGGAAAATACTATGACTTACCATTAGAAAGCTTGATATCACCAGAAGATAAATGCTAATTTTTATCTGTCTTTCTTTGTTAGAAATGTGGTCCTTTCCTATCAATACAGCTTTTGATGTCAGTGTAATAAAATGTAAAATCTGTGCAGATTCTCAAACTGTCAAAACAACAGTATGCACTTAACAAAACTTATCTGGCTCTTGGTAAGTGTTTAATTTTTGTTTTGTTGGTTTTTCTTACATCTCCATTCCCTCAGAGTTATCAGTGCTCACAGATAACCCCATGAAATATATCTTTGATTTTGAGGTAAAAGAAACCTTGGCTTATGATGAACTCTTTTAGGGATTTTTTTTTCCTAGACAATTTTAGATATCAGATCAAGAAATAGAAAATAAAGTTAAAATCTTGCTTTTACACCAAGCATTTTAGATGATTTTTTTCAAATTGCTGTATTTTTTTACTAAGTTGGCTTAGTCCATTCCATTATCGCTGGAAAATTAAAATTGCAAAAGTTCGATTTCCTTCTCTAATACTTGTTATTAACATCACATTTTAATATACTCCAACGAATACATTTGTGAAATAATATTTTACTTTATCATTTTTGTCAAGCTGAGTTTTGCCATAATTTGGTTTAAAAACTTCATATATTTCTTCATTAATATGGTACTTTCTGGTCTCATCAGTAGTTTCAATTTCTCTCTTAAAAAAAAAATCCCTGAAATTCCTACTTCCCCTACAGAATCAAGAGGTATCTATGTTTAAAGAGAATTTAAGTACAAAATAATTGTTGGGAGGTAGTGAAGAGAAAAAGAAACAGAAATCATTGTGAACAACTACTTCTCTGTTCTATAAAGAAAAAAAATATGCGAATCATCTATTTTTATCCAATTACTGAAGTATTATTAAAATACAATCTCCTAAATTGCTACAATTTAAAAAAAAAAGTGTGTGTGTGTGTGTGGAGGGATTTAGTGTGGTTATTATTACCTGTAGTGAAACATAGAGGTTATGTTAGAAAATAATATTTGAGATATAGTATCTCATTTGTAATCTGCAAAGAAAAACGTGTACATGTTTTCACTGTTGCAACCTGAAGCAAAGCGAAGAGTTAAACGCTTGTTGTCTTTTGAGGTGCCCTCCCCTCTGATGCGACTTATGATTATGAGTTCCGAGGCATTAAATCTCAAGGCCCATCGACTTGCATCTTACAGCCCTGCCTGTCTGTGGACAGGACCCTGTCTGTCTGTTTCCTCTATTGCACTATTTTGTTTGTACTACTGTAATCATTTTGCCGGCCCAGATCTGTGTGGGTGTGCTGGCAGCTTTACAACAAAGTTACATGGGAACAGAGTTAAGGTTGAATATTTATTAGAAGAAGCCATCTGGCGTCAGGCTGTCTGTACAGGGGGGCTCGTTTCTTTAGTAGGCTCTCCTCTTTCTCTATAGCTCTTCCTCCCTTTCTCTTTCCTGCTCTCTCTCCCCCTGCTCCTCATTTCACAGTTCTGAAAAAGTTGAATGTGCTTCTCTATCCCATTAATTTTGTCCTTTGCATTTATGTTCTTAAAAAAAAAATCACCAGATTGCTTTTTCTTTAAATTTTTTTTTTTCTCTATCTGGGGGGCAGCTTGCTGTTTGTGTCCACAATGGCAGTGCCCACTGAGGGTCACCCCTTGAAGGCAGCAGGACTACCACAGTGGGACAGCAGCTTCGTATAGGGGCTTACAAGTTGCCCTAGACATCCAGTTTTCTGTTTCTGCTTTCCTTTTCTTTTTTCACCTCCAGTAAGCAAATTAATATAAAAGCACCTCTCTTTGGAGCCAGACTAAGTCCACATACGCAATCAGATGCATTCTTGGAGAATAAGCAGTTCCTTCAGCAGTTGTGCCACCTTGCTCCACGTCAGCTGTCTGAAATCACTTTTTAAATGGTCTTTGAGATGGTTAGCTTTTTTCACTTACCATTTTTGTGTAAATTGTTCATTTTCCTCTTCTGTGAACGTGCCCATTTTCTTTTTTGTTGTTGTGGCTGCAACTCTCCCTGGCTCTGTGTATCCTCCTGCACACATGGCCTCTGCTGGGAGCCTCCCCCAGTCTGTGCAGTTTGTACTGAACTCTTAAGTGTGCTCCATAAGATGCCATTATCACCAGCCCGATAGAAGGATGCCCACTTTAAAACACGCACAGTATGTAACCCAGGAGGCCGGGGGGGAAAGGAGGCTCGTGAGCCAATGATCACCATTGCACCTGAAAACCCACCCAGACATGGCAACAAGTATTTTGTGAATGCAAAGGAAACCTGTCATTTTTGCTTTGCTTCTTTGTGGGATGACAGCCAAATTCTGGGTTAGCCTCTGTCACGTTGCTGCAAGTTGACTTCTCCCCCTTCACTCCATAATGTGGGAAGCTGCCCAGAGAGATTCCATGGAGAGACTGCACTAGGGAGAGGAGGATTTCTCAAGGCTTGATAAATATCCAGTAACACATTTATCTCGATATTGGAAGGGGGGTGATTTGTTTTCTCATTTGCCTAGTTATCTGGGGTGCAGGAGTTATCAAAGGAATCAAATGGGAGAAATTAAAATGATCAGGGCAGCACCTCTAGTGCAGATAGGCTGTTAGAAATCTAAAGAGTTCAAAGAGCCTGAGTCAAATCAGCTTAATAGCCACTGTCTTTGCTCCATTGTAAGCGTGGCTTTTTGTTGTTGTTGTTCCCCTGAACTTGATTTTTCATTTTCTCAGGTGGGCTATGGACTAGCTAGTCACTTTAGTAGAGAGCCCTTATTTCAGGCAGCTTCAAATGCCTCATCATTTCTGAATGAGTTTCAGCTCCAGGAGATTTCAGTGCTGGAAGAATTGCAATAAGCTATGAAACTTTATCCCTTCTCAAGACTCTTCCGAGTCACTGGGGAGCCCTGGCTTCCACGGGTAATGGTAATCGCTCTGCTCACTTAGGGAAGGAAGGTGCCACCCCAGGGTCACATGACAATACCAGAGAGGTTAAATCAACTTCCAGCTGAGGTTTTACAGATACATTTGGGATCTTGGAATGATATTACCATATTATTGTGCTTTTACTCTTGTTTCTTTTGGCTCAGGGGTGAGGGAATGGTCTTGTGTAACAGATTTACCCAGGGAAAGCTTCACCTGATCCAAGGAAGACTGGGCTCCAATGTCACCCTGTTTTAGTTTAACGGATACAAAATGTCTCAAAGAGAAATGTTGTTGGTATTCTGAGACTTGTATTTATCTTTAATTTTTGAAAGACTTAGTCGGGAAAAGAATCCAACACATTATCTCAGGGGAGATGAGTATGGAATGAGAGTAATAACTATTAAAATAAGAGAGGCGTTCAGGGAAATGGCTGGTCATTTGATGCTTTTTTTTTTTTTTCCCCATCAGAAATCTGCCAAATAAAAAAAGTTACCTGATACATATGCCACTGGGATAACTAATTGTGACTATTTTTAAGAAATTATGTATCACCTATGTTTTTCTGCAAAGATTTAATTGGATAAAGAAATAGCTTTAACCTAATGATCACCCTAATCATCAGGATTTCATTATGGATCAAGCACTGATAAATCATAGGGGGAAAAAAACAACTTTTTTATTCTTTATTCTTTTTTCCTAAAACAAAAACAAACAAAAAACCCTCCAGGAGTATGACACCTGGTAAAATTCCTTTGTCTGTAGCAAAGTTTCCCAGACCATCTTAAAGAAAATAATTATTTTTATTAAAGGAGTAACATGAGTCACATTCCCAAGGATTTAACAATCTTAACACAGGAGACAAACCATTTTATTAACAAAAACACATAAATACAACAACAGTCAAAATATGTTAGTTTGCTGTCTGCATATTTATTGATTGATTCATTCTTCAATATTTGAGCATTCCTCAGTCTATGCAAAATATTGTGCCAGGTGTTGTGACATATTCTAAGCTTATTTCATACAATCTGTATCCTCAAGGACCCTACAGTATAGATTAGGAGAAAGGCATTTCACCAATAATAGCAAATAGGATTGATTAATTATCTTAAGAGTGATGAAAAAAAGGAACAAGTTTAGGAAGTTTTCTGTTTCAGAAGAGGTGACCCACACAGAGAAAGCAGTCCATCTTAGAGCACAGGACATTTGTGCAGTGGTAGTGAAAAATAAAAAATAAAAAGGGACAGATTGGCCTGAACAAGATTTTGAATGCCTAGGACAGAACATTCACTTAATTTGAGGGACAGTGGGAACTGTTGGATGAGCAAGTGTTATAGTTTGAGAATCAGAAGAGTATGGGAGAATTTAGATCAGAACTTTACTCCAAGGAATCCTACCAAGTAAAGTAAGGGTGGTTATATGGCAGTTGGAAAGAACAAGAAAGGAAATGAAAAATCTATCTATATAAAAAAAAGTGATAGACCTTCACTCAACTGGGTGAAGAGAAATAAGACAATGACACAGTCTAAGATTTTCAAATTGGCATGCATCAAAATTTGGGGAAAACAAATAGAACCAGGGAAATAAAGACTCTGAGG